ACGACGACGACGACGACGACGACGACGACGACGACGACGACGACGACGACGACGACGACGACGACGACGACGACGACGACGACGACGACGACGACGACGACGACGACGACGACGACGACGACGACGACGACGACGACGACGACGACGACGACGACGACGACGACGACGACGACGACGACGACGACGACGACGACGACGACGACGACGACGACGACGACGACGACGACGACGACGACGACGACGACGACGACGACGACGACGACGACGACGACGACGACGACGACGACGACGACGACGACGACGACGACGACGACGACGACGACGACGACGACGACGACGACGACGACGACGACGACGACGACGACGACGACGACGACGACGACGACGACGACGACGACGACGACGACGACGACGACGACGACGACGACGACGACGACGACGACGACGACGACGACGACGACGACGACGACGACGACGACGACGACGACGACGACGACGACGACGACGACGACGACGACGACGACGACGACGACGACGACGACGACGACGACGACGACGACGACGACGACGACGACGACGACGACGACGACGACGACGACGACGACGACGACGACGACGACGACGACGACGACGACGACGACGACGACGACGACGACGACGACGACGACGACGACGACGACGACGACGACGACGACGACGACGACGACGACGACGACGACGACGACGACGACGACGACGACGACGACGACGACGACGACGACGACGACGACGACGACGACGACGACGACGACGACGACGACGACGACGACGACGACGACGACGACGACGACGACGACGACGACGACGACGACGACGACGACGACGACGACGACGACGACGACGACGACGACGACGACGACGACGACGACGACGACGACGACGACGACGACGACGACGACGACGACGACGACGACGACGACGACGACGACGACGACGACGACGACGACGACGACGACGACGACGACGACGACGACGACGACGACGACGACGACGACGACGACGACGACGACGACGACGACGACGACGACGACGACGACGACGACGACGACGACGACGACGACGACGACGACGACGACGACGACGACGACGACGACGACGACGACGACGACGACGACGACGACGACGACGACGACGACGACGACGACGACGACGACGACGACGACGACGACGACGACGACGACGACGACGACGACGACGACGACGACGACGACGACGACGACGACGACGACGACGACGACGACGACGACGACGACGACGACGACGACGACGACGACGACGACGACGACGACGACGACGACGACGACGACGACGACGACGACGACGACGACGACGACGACGACGACGACGACGACGACGACGACGACGACGACGACGACGACGACGACGACGACGACGACGACGACGACGACGACGACGACGACGACGACGACGACGACGACGACGACGACGACGACGACGACGACGACGACGACGACGACGACGACGACGACGACGACGACGACGACGACGACGACGACGACGACGACGACGACGACGACGACGACGACGACGACGACGACGACGACGACGACGACGACGACGACGACGACGACGACGACGACGACGACGACGACGACGACGACGACGACGACGACGACGACGACGACGACGACGACGACGACGACGACGACGACGACGACGACGACGACGACGACGACGACGACGACGACGACGACGACGACGACGACGACGACGACGACGACGACGACGACGACGACGACGACGACGACGACGACGACGACGACGACGACGACGACGACGACGACGACGACGACGACGACGACGACGACGACGACGACGACGACGACGACGACGACGACGACGACGACGACGACGACGACGACGACGACGACGACGACGACGACGACGACGACGACGACGACGACGACGACGACGACGACGACGACGACGACGACGACGACGACGACGACGACGACGACGACGACGACGACGACGACGACGACGACGACGACGACGACGACGACGACGACGACGACGACGACGACGACGACGACGACGACGACGACGACGACGACGACGACGACGACGACGACGACGACGACGACGACGACGACGACGACGACGACGACGACGACGACGACGACGACGACGACGACGACGACGACGACGACGACGACGACGACGACGACGACGACGACGACGACGACGACGACGACGACGACGACGACGACGACGACGACGACGACGACGACGACGACGACGACGACGACGACGACGACGACGACGACGACGACGACGACGACGACGACGACGACGACGACGACGACGACGACGACGACGACGACGACGACGACGACGACGACGACGACGACGACGACGACGACGACGACGACGACGACGACGACGACGACGACGACGACGACGACGACGACGACGACGACGACGACGACGACGACGACGACGACGACGACGACGACGACGACGACGACGACGACGACGACGACGACGACGACGACGACGACGACGACGACGACGACGACGACGACGACGACGACGACGACGACGACGACGACGACGACGACGACGACGACGACGACGACGACGACGACGACGACGACGACGACGACGACGACGACGACGACGACGACGACGACGACGACGACGACGACGACGACGACGACGACGACGACGACGACGACGACGACGACGACGACGACGACGACGACGACGACGACGACGACGACGACGACGACGACGACGACGACGACGACGACGACGACGACGACGACGACGACGACGACGACGACGACGACGACGACGACGACGACGACGACGACGACGACGACGACGACGACGACGACGACGACGACGACGACGACGACGACGACGACGACGACGACGACGACGACGACGACGACGACGACGACGACGACGACGACGACGACGACGACGACGACGACGACGACGACGACGACGACGACGACGACGACGACGACGACGACGACGACGACGACGACGACGACGACGACGACGACGACGACGACGACGACGACGACGACGACGACGACGACGACGACGACGACGACGACGACGACGACGACGACGACGACGACGACGACGACGACGACGACGACGACGACGACGACGACGACGACGACGACGACGACGACGACGACGACGACGACGACGACGACGACGACGACGACGACGACGACGACGACGACGACGACGACGACGACGACGACGACGACGACGACGACGACGACGACGACGACGACGACGACGACGACGACGACGACGACGACGACGACGACGACGACGACGACGACGACGACGACGACGACGACGACGACGACGACGACGACGACGACGACGACGACGACGACGACGACGACGACGACGACGACGACGACGACGACGACGACGACGACGACGACGACGACGACGACGACGACGACGACGACGACGACGACGACGACGACGACGACGACGACGACGACGACGACGACGACGACGACGACGACGACGACGACGACGACGACGACGACGACGACGACGACGACGACGACGACGACGACGACGACGACGACGACGACGACGACGACGACGACGACGACGACGACGACGACGACGACGACGACGACGACGACGACGACGACGACGACGACGACGACGACGACGACGACGACGACGACGACGACGACGACGACGACGACGACGACGACGACGACGACGACGACGACGACGACGACGACGACGACGACGACGACGACGACGACGACGACGACGACGACGACGACGACGACGACGACGACGACGACGACGACGACGACGACGACGACGACGACGACGACGACGACGACGACGACGACGACGACGACGACGACGACGACGACGACGACGACGACGACGACGACGACGACGACGACGACGACGACGACGACGACGACGACGACGACGACGACGACGACGACGACGACGACGACGACGACGACGACGACGACGACGACGACGACGACGACGACGACGACGACGACGACGACGACGACGACGACGACGACGACGACGACGACGACGACGACGACGACGACGACGACGACGACGACGACGACGACGACGACGACGACGACGACGACGACGACGACGACGACGACGACGACGACGACGACGACGACGACGACGACGACGACGACGACGACGACGACGACGACGACGACGACGACGACGACGACGACGACGACGACGACGACGACGACGACGACGACGACGACGACGACGACGACGACGACGACGACGACGACGACGACGACGACGACGACGACGACGACGACGACGACGACGACGACGACGACGACGACGACGACGACGACGACGACGACGACGACGACGACGACGACGACGACGACGACGACGACGACGACGACGACGACGACGACGACGACGACGACGACGACGACGACGACGACGACGACGACGACGACGACGACGACGACGACGACGACGACGACGACGACGACGACGACGACGACGACGACGACGACGACGACGACGACGACGACGACGACGACGACGACGACGACGACGACGACGACGACGACGACGACGACGACGACGACGACGACGACGACGACGACGACGACGACGACGACGACGACGACGACGACGACGACGACGACGACGACGACGACGACGACGACGACGACGACGACGACGACGACGACGACGACGACGACGACGACGACGACGACGACGACGACGACGACGACGACGACGACGACGACGACGACGACGACGACGACGACGACGACGACGACGACGACGACGACGACGACGACGACGACGACGACGACGACGACGACGACGACGACGACGACGACGACGACGACGACGACGACGACGACGACGACGACGACGACGACGACGACGACGACGACGACGACGACGACGACGACGACGACGAC